GAATAAAGTATTATTTGAACCTCTACTAATCTGAAGTGGCAATCACTTAGCAGCAACTCTACAGATATAGTAGTAGTCTATCAAGCTTAAAAATTTTCAGTTGTTTTTGCTCATTCTGTACAATGTACATGCATTTTGCCTTCAGCACTCCTCTTCCTGGAAGATTTGCAAAGGTATAAATGAGAACTGCATATCTGGTTTCCCACTGAACTTTTATGTCTGTATGGGCTTTTTTACACATTATCCTGAGGACTTTTGAAGAACAGAGACATGCACTGCCCACCTTCTGCAAAGTATTGACATACATTTCCCACTGCGGCTGGAAGACTTGAAAAGTTCAATGTATTCAAAAGGACAAACTCCTAGGCAGATGCATCCCAAATGCATCTTAATTTGTGCACACATTAAAAGAAGTAGCATTTGACTATACAGAATGTCTAGTAAATACAGAGAAGAAAAAGAGGAATTAAAATTGAAATATACAGCAAACAAATTCACATATCAAACTTTGTACCTTGCGGATTGTGGGAAATTTTCCTTCATACCGATAAAACCATCCAAAAGCTATAAAAAGGTAAAGGAAAAACTGTTTTTTGAAGAAAAGTCAAGGATTGGTTCAGATTCAGATCAATCCATGCTGACACATTTAACTGATTAAAATTTATTGGCCGGCGCAACACCAGAGGCTCTATTACATGACAAGTTCTTATGCAAGTTCTTGATCAATTCTGTTAATATATTAGGTCACAAGTTACTCTTATTTTACTGACGCACATTTTATCTTAAGCATAGCACATGCAACAAGTGATCTTCATACAGAACCATAGAGCCATATGCATTGCTAACATTTCTACGGTCACCGTCCTACTTTACACTAGTTTTAACAGCCTTATTAAAATAAAACAGGTATTCAAATTCATTCAAGGTTGTGGAAGAACACAGTGTCATTTGAGAAGACAAGAAAAACTCCATTTCCTAGGATAAAATATTTTGAGCCAAATGCATTAATTTTAAAAAGCACATTGCTAAGTAAAAACATAAAAAAAGATTCTGTTACCATAATTTAAGAAACACTGATAACACACAGAGCACTCAATATAATCCACCCTTCTGTAGGATTGACAGATTTTGTATTTGTATCAAGGTATCTTTAGGAAGCAATGACAGCAACAGTGTCATAACCTTTCATCATTTACCAAAGGACCCCAAATATTGCCCTAGCAAAACCAAATCAGTTCAGTGTCAAGACTGACTGTCAGGAGGAAGGGAAACACAGGAAGAATCTGAATCAGGATAGAAGGTTAAGGCTGAGCAGCAAACCTGTTTGTTCTGCTTCATCATCACTTCATCCATGTCATCTGTTTCAAGTTGGTCATGTGCAACTCCCTCTAAATCTACTAGAGAAACAAAGGAGGAAAGGAGTGAGGAGATAGAAATGACAGTCTAACTGGATGTTCCCATGAAATGAAAGAGAGATGAGCAATGTGTGATGAGAAGTTTCCATAAAATAAAATTTAAAGAAGTCAGCAGTGGGATATTTTTCCACATAACTGAGGGGGAGGGGAAAAAAAAAAAAGCGCTCCTGCTTAAATCAAATCAATTTCCAACCTTCCTCAACCCTGAAGAGCATCTGCCTATGGCCAATTAGTCTGCTGCTATGAAGAGGAGCCTCCAGAGGTAAGTGGCTTTTCCTGTAACTAAACCATCAGCAATTCTGGGATGTCTGGCTTCAAAAAGAAATATCAGCCTTCTACTGTGCTGTCATGGGGGTAAATGCTAAGCAGAGAAAACAGCCCTGAAGAATCAGAAATCTAAATGGTTAAAAGATGATTGTAGAAGAAACATTTCCTCATCTGAGTTTCACATCAGTTAAGTGACTTCCCCAAAGTCACACAAAAAATAATGTGATCACGTTAGGAACTAACCCAGGCCTCCCTTAAATTATGCAATACCGGCTCCATAAGCACTTTCTGCTTTTTCCTTTGTCTAGTACCATTTTAGTACACTTTCCGCATCCTATCCACAGCTCCCAACTTAGCTTCCTAAATGCAAATTAAGCACTAAGAGTCTTACATTCTGTTGGACAACTAAGTCAGACTTACACTTCAGGGCAATTCTTCATGGAAAAGCTGCAGTGTACAAACAGTACTTCATCAAGTCTCTCCACTAATTCTGAAGCAGACTGCCCAGTGATATCAAATCAATTTTCAGGCTGTGCAGAATACAGCCTGTTTGTGAAAGATTTGCTGCAATGGATGGAAAGAGGAAAAAGGGAAAAAGAAAATAGGACAGGAAAGAGATTGAGTAAGGAAGATGATAGTAGGAAGGGAATAGGAAACAAACAAACACCAAACCAAAACAAAAAAACACCACCCAAAAAGGAAAAGGTGTTTCAAAGTCTACAGATAACCCACATTTGAGAAAGCAGGATTTTCCTTTTCCACTCTGACAGATGGTCTATTTCAGATATTAACAAATCTGTTACTATACACAGCACCTCACAGACAGATGCCTCAATTTTGCAAATCCTTAGAAATATGCCTAACTTTCCCATGATTAGGTCACTAGGAATTGATTCAGAAGTTCTGATTGCCAGCCTTTAATTAGTACATGCTTAAATCCTTTGCTGCCCTAGCTCTTAGCATGCAAGATTATTTCTGCAACAGCTATAAACACCATTACATCATCATCATTTAATTTTCAAGACAGTTGTCAAAAGAGCACGAACTGAAGAAAGTGACATGCAGAAAAATTATGTGATAAATACTTTACCCTGAGAAAGAATAAATTAGATGTGAAAGACTTGCTGGCAAGAAACAGATTTGTCAGAAGGCCTAGGAAAAATGCTTTAAAAATGTTGCTGATTCTTAAGAATCTTTGATTTTTATCTTTTTCGTCTAGTGTCTTACTGTTGTTTTGCAACAAAGGCTTCTGTTGCCTTTTTTTTTTTTTTCATCACAGTCAATATATCAAGTTGTTTACTCAGGAAGAGAAGCAAGGGAGCTTCAAGTCACTCCTACAGCCCATAAAGATTGCCAAAGACAGGACCAAG